TTTACCTTCTTTTAAGCTTTTCCCGACATCATTGCCACATTCTGTGGAATTCACATTTATTTTGCCTTCATCATTCTCGGATATATCCATTAACTCAAGAAAATAATATTGTTCAGATTCGATTGAATTTGTGGAAGGACTCTTTTTAATGGTTGTGTTACTTCTTTCTTCTTCTTTTGCAATGTTTTCCACCAAATCTGAGATTTTATTAATATTTAAAATATTGCGTCAACAATATTTACGCAATTATAAGGTTCAGAACGATGCTGACCAATTTGTAAAAAAAAAATCAAATCGATACTGCATTTCGAACTGATACCTATATAAAATGGAATATTATTTTCAATTGCTTGGTATTACTTATTACCTGAGTTTGGAAACTGCTGAATTGCTACATAATCCTTCAAATCGTCTTCAGTTTGCGAAATGTTTTCTTTATTACTCTATTAAAAGAAAAAATATATATGTATATAAGTAGAAATGGTCAAACTAAAAATATATTGAACATCCGTCTGACCTCTGTTTTAGTGAGCCCCTCTAATCGAACACTTGTATCATCTACTGTTGCAATTTCAATATATTTGTTATTATAACCATTTGAATCATCAATTCTTTGCATCTCTTTACAATTTGCTATTGCATTGCTTAAAATTTTGTCCGATTGTATGGCTTTTTGAATAAAATTCCATGCAATTCCTAATTCAAAACTACAGTTCTCGCAAAGATTTTGGGGCATTTTTCCTTCGTTATCGGTAGCCGTTAATTGTGTACAACTTCGAAAGCAGTCCATATATGTTATAAGCACATTAGAATGTTTTTCCAATGGTGCCTCGAGTTCTATTTGCTCGAAAGGAGTCTCCAGATCCACATAAGATAATGAAGTTTTTAAGCATGCTCTACAAGTGGGAATGGTGTCCATCTACGAATAACCAATATAAGTATTCGTTTTCTGCTCTTGACAAAATAATACAATTCTATTGAAATCTAAAAATTACACAAACAGAAACAAACACAAAAGCTATATTTGATATGATATTATAATTGCGATATTCGTTATCGATATATTTGAATGATATTTAATGACATTCGATTACTTGCTAAAAACGATGAATATATTCACAATTGAAGTAAATAAATATTGTACCAAAAAAGTGCAGGCTTATAAATTGACTTAGATTTTATACCGGTAAAGGCTATTATTTCGAGAACTTAACCATGTTTGGATCAGTAATAAATCGGAATCATTTCTTATCCAGTCATTACCAAAGCATCTCCTAGATGTCCGGCTGTTCTACATCCTCCTTATTTTGCTGGCATTGAGTCCAGTCTGGACCCGTGAAAAAGGTTATTGTAATGCTTTTATAATTTAATATTTTCTTTTATTATTTAACGTTTTGTTTTTAAATTGTTAGTGCAATAGAAATATTTATCAACGTAGTTTTAAAACACACTTCAACCAGAGAACTTAAAACGTGTTGTGATATGGTTCAATGCTTATAATTATATTTCTTCATTCTTTGATGTGAGAATAATCAAGGATCTAACATGATACCTTAGTTCTTAAATAATTAAGTCGAAATTTTATAGATAGAAAATATTTTCTATTTTTGTAATTGCGAACTAAGGTATCGAACTTCAGAAACTGGTAGCGGTGGCAAAAATTGTAAAGTCAACAGGCGGAAATCTTTAAATCCCACACTGCTTCCGGTTCAGTTTATACTGTATATACCATTCAATATCTAATATCTCTTATAACATCATTTCCTTGTGTATAAAATAGTTAAAATCAGACTTATAATAACCCTAGCTCCATATGCCTAACACACAAATTACATCAAATGTATCTAATTTGATTTAATTATTTAAATATTATAGTATGTAAATATCGAAAACACGAAGCAAATTAACTAAAACTAATCGAGATAGATCTGGAGTCGAATTTGGACGATAATAACTTCTGGTGGAAAGCGGACCACAACCAAAGCTACTTCCCATATAACACAAATTTAATTTCCATTTAAACCTTCACCAATTAATGTAGCAGGTTAAAACTTTGCCCTCACTATTCGGGGTTAAAGTAGRCCGCCTTATGACTAAAAAGGGTCCAAATTGAACCAAAATCATTCATGTTCCCAGATACAGAATATGTGGATCAAAGTTGCAATTGCGAACTTTTTGTCGAAATATCGGTAAATTGGGTTGAATCGGGTCAATAATTACTTTAGCCCCCAAATACCTAATATATAGAAAGATTTTCGGACTTCCCGGTGGTTTTTGTATGCGATATGCGATATCCGCAAATGTGATAATTATTTTAATAAAATTAGGAGTGCTTTTCAACTAACGGTGAATCTTTGTCACTGAAATAGATAAAATCGGGTGAAAACTTGCCTTACACCTATAACGTTTTGCACCTGATGGTATTTCCCTAGCTTTGATCGTGGCAAGATGCAAGAGTATGAAATGCTCGGTTACATATAGATTATGGCATTTTGTCGGTGTGATAGTGTCCCATTTACGCCCATCTAAGAACTCGTTATTCCGATTCGACCAAGGAACATATGTTGAAAGTTTTATGACGATATCTCATTTTTACTCAAGTTATCGCTTGTACGGATAGATGGACGGACAGATAGTCATTCGGATATCAACTCGTCTCGTCAGCGTGAACATTTTTATATATAACTGCATATATATTTCGATTAATTTTAGGTAATACAAACAATCGTCTGGTGAACAAATATATTATACACGAGTTTAAAAATGAATAGGCAACATTCATGCAAAGCTTGCAATGCAGGATTTAAAAGACAACGATACATTTTCGGTGGTGCTGGTGGAAAAACGTCTGTTCATTTAAAATATTACAGGAAATATTCTAGAGGCACCTATTTTAACTGGGAAGTTTAATGAAGGAATGGTCCTGTTACGGTAGACAGTTTACCATTGGTTTAACTTTCACGGTGTGTTTAAATAGTTCTCATAGCCAAAAATAGCAATTATCAGTTTATATTTTGAAAATTCGCTCTTTGTTCGGTGAGTTCTTCGTTTGGTGGAACATGCAAAGAGGTTAGTGCCATGTGGGGGATTTTTGCATGCAGGCCATAAGTTTAGAATGTCAGAGGATAAGTAAAAGTTTAGTCTAATACAATATGCAGAACGAATTTACGTTAGAGTCACTCTAACGCGATAATCCCACTCGCGGTCTGCGATGAGTGGTGTTTCGACTCCAAGGACGCAATATTGCGGTTGAGAATTATTGAAAATATTAATAGCTTTACTGTAAATATCGTTCAGCACACCTCTAAAGTTTGTCGTATTGTATGAACGTTTTATTGATGCTCCGGGGACGCGATCCATAGCTGTATACACTACTGGGGAAAGCGCTGATATACTAGTTATCGAATCTCCAAGTTACAATTAGTTAGTACTCACCACACACCAGTACTTCTTTTTTCGGGTGCTATGGCCTTGGCCGGAAAAATACGAGTAAATTCAGTGTCTGTATGGTTTATCAGCGTAGTACGAAAAAATACCAGTTTCGCAATTTTTCGCATGAAATCTTTATTTAAAACAATATTTTCTGATGCTCATGTTAATCTATAGTAAATAGTATATAGTAATGCCTACAAATATGCACGTGAGTGTAAATAGTAACAAAGAGTTTACAGTTGCAATTTCTAATTTTAAAACAAATGCAAAACATTTAACATCNAAAAAAAAAAATCACTTAATTGCCATTATCAGACACGGATGAAGCTTGGTTCATATGACACATACATTTCATATGGACATACATTTGCTATTTAACATTAACACATGGTATATAAACATAAATGTATATTTGTATATGGTACATATGTACATAAATTATTTTAGAGTTTTAAGTATTGTATAACAAATAAATGAGGTAGTTGGCAATCTGATGCCGACCTTCATTCAAGCCTAAATAAAATAATTATATTTTCGTTAAATTGAGAGTTTTCATTCATTCAGTTTCTCTTGCTTGAAATGAAAGTCTATTTTGAGCACTTTGATCTGTCGGTATCACTTACACGAAACCTTTGTGATTGATAAGATACATAGGTATAAGCGAACGTAAACATGTATGTATGTWTATGTGTTCGGCCAACATAATTAACTAATTCGTTGCCACTTTGCTTCCTGTAGTTTCGGACTTAAACGAGATTATTCATCATTATCATCATCACTTAGAAGTTGTCGCTGTTGTTGAATGCAGATCCTGTCTCTTATACACATCTAGATGTGTATAAGAGACAGACATAGTATAAACAAAAAATTATTGACGCACACAGCGTACTTACATATATAGTATATAAATTAAAGTATATAAACATGCCATCATCCGCTTGCGAACTTATCTAGTCATCTGTATGAGTAAAATGAACAATGACAATTCACTAATTCGGTATACATATGTACATAGAACTAGGTGTATAAATTTGAAATTAAATATACAAAGGCATATTTATTCGATACATACATAAATAATCATTTATACATTACATTTATCCCCATTCACTCAATCGATTGATACGATACATTTTTATATTATATAATATTAATTAACTAAGTTATTTGTATTTGAACAGTCTTTTCCACGTTTTCCTAAATATTTATACTATATATACCTACAACATTTTTCGTTGTCATTATTAATGAATTTTGTTTGATTAAATAATTGGTACTTAGTGTTACGAGTTTTACATTTAAAAGAGAATGAGTGCACTTTTATGTGATAAGTATATGTACAATTTAAAATCTAGTAGGTACGATTATAAAATCTAGAGCTATTTTGTGTTCCGATACATTTTGTTTAACCACTCAAATTCCTGTACATTATCTTTAAAATTCATATTGTGCACAATATTTAAACTAATATTTCTGCTTATTCATATATGTGTATTGTGTTGTACACTATACACTAAATATAGCCTAYGCTCATGCCTATATATACATATGTATATATAGTACTATACATTGTTGATAAACACCTTTGACTTATCTAAATATATTTGCTCAATACACATACTTAACATATGTATGTATATGTATATTTATATGTATATATGTACATAAGTACTTAAGAAACTTCCTTGCATAAGTGGCTCTATGTTCTTATTATAAATGCATTCAAATAAATACATACCATATAGTTAAATATATATGTATACAAATACATTATTGCTAATAGCAAAAAAAAAAATCACTTAATTGCCATTATCAGACACGGATGAAGCTTGGTTCATATGACACATACATTTCATATGGACATACATTTGCTATTTAACATTAACACATGGTATATAAACATAAATGTATATTTGTATATGGTACATATGTACATAAATTATTTTAGAGTTTTAAGTATTGTATAACAAATAAATGAGGTAGTTGGCAATCTGATGCCGACCTTCATTCAAGCCTAAATAAAATAATTATATTTTCGTTAAATTGAGAGTTTTCATTCATTCAGTTTCTCTTGCTTGAAATGAAAGTCTATTTTGAGCACTTTGATCTGTCGGTATCACTTACACGAAACCTTTGTGATTGATAAGATACATAGGTATAAGCGAACGTAAACATGTATGTATGTTTATGTGTTCGGCCAACATAATTAACTAATTCGTTGCCACTTTGCTTCCTGTAGTTTCGGACTTAAACGAGATTATTCATCATTATCATCATCACTTAGAAGTTGTCGCTGTTGTTGAATGCAGATCGATTCTAGTGGGGTAATTGTTGGTGTGTGTTTCGTTGCGCTGGCAGCGATACATTTATTCTGTTTTTGGACTTCATACTCGCTTTTGATATTGACATAGATTTTACTCTGCAATTGGTGCTCCTCCTTAAATGAAATACATATCATTGATAATAAGTAATATAAAATGTGCAAAAGTAAATTATGAATGAACCATACCATTAATTCGTCAATCCTATGATTAGAATTAGGCATCTCGTATTTATTACTCTTGTCACGTAACTCAATTGCTGCGTTAAGCTGTTCATCTAGCGTTC